GGATTTGGATTGTAGTCCAAAATTTGTGGGTTGACCCGAAACTCGTAGCGGGCAGACTTTTTTTTCACGCGAGCCGTTATCGGGCTTATATGTTGGCGGGCCGACTCGGCCCGGGCCACCTGGATTGACACCTCCATTTTGGGGGCTGATGTGGAACATTGATTTTTAATGATGATATTAAGGGCATTGTGATGTATATTTTTTGAGAATAGATTTGTAAAAAATATTTTTTTTTAGAATGTATAGTTAAAAAGTAGAAAAAATCTACGAGTCCAAATGCATAATTATTTTATAAGAAGAACGTGTGAACGAAAATGAATCTTAAAAAAATTATGTTTTAAAGAATCTATATCAAATGAGGCTAGTAAGTAATATTATTTGGTTATTTAATTAAATTAGATATGGTANATACGGGTCAAATCGGAACAAATCGCAACCCGTGACCCGCATGGGTCAGCGGGCGGACTTGAGTTGTAGTCCAAAATTTGTGGGTTGACCCGAAACTCGTAGCGGGCGGACTTTTTTTTCACGCAAGCCGTTATCGGGCTTATATGTTGGCGGGCCGACTCGGCCCGGACCACCTGGATTGACACCTCTATTTTGGGGGCTGATGTGGAACATTGATTTTTAATGATGATATTAAGGGCATTGTGATGTATATTTTTTGAGAATAGATTTGTAGAAAATATTTTTTTTTAGAATGTATAGTTAAAAAGTAGAAAAAATCTACGAGTCCAAATGCATAATTATTTTATAAGAAGAACGTGTGATCGAAAATGAATATTAAAAAAATTATGTTTTAAAGAATCTATATCAAATAAGGCTAGTAAGTAATATTATTTGTTTATTTAATTAAATTAGATATGGTACGGAAACAGTTTATGAATGGAGCTAATTTAGTGGTATTTCTATAAATTTGTTCCTCTAACCTCTTATTCAATTGAAAATTTTCTAGAACTCCAAGAGCATGAAAACTCAATGATTCATATAACTATTTAACTGATATGTAGGTTATTCATTAATGTTTGGTCCCAANTGTTTTGTTCCAATCAAATAGTAGATTACAACTATTTAATACACATGTTTATTAAGTAGCGACTCGAATAACTATATACTCTATTCTCAGGATGTTATAGAAATTTTTCCCCTCCCATGATTTCACGATGGAATATTTAATGAATGACACGAGTATTATATCTTTTGAGCGGAAGGTGATGTTACTCAAGAAAACACACGGCAAATCGTGATGCAATTTCATATTTCGTGAAGGTTTATGTCGTAAATTGAAGTGAAAATCTATTTTACTATTTCATGTGAGTTTCTTTTAGAAAAGATTAATTTCAATCTCCAACTATACAATAATTTAAAGGAAATTTGCATACATAATCACCATTTATTAACTGATAGGTAATCTTTATTTCTTAGTATTTAAGTCATTCAATTCTCTTGGCACATGAATCTCTAAAAAACACATTATTATTGGGAAAAATATATTACAGGGATTACATGATCAGACATAATTCCATAGATTGGCTCTACAGTTCACGGACCTTCTTGGTTTTGTAGATGTCACAAAACCTTGCCTCCAGATTCTTTAGCACCAACATCGCCAATCCTGAATATTCATACTCGATTAGCCAAGAACAGTTGATCCTCAATGCTATAGTTGGATCAGTATCACCATCGATCATTCTCTTCGTTGCTGCTGCCAAAACCTCTAGAGGAACTTGGCTCGCTCTTGCTACAACCTATGCAAAATTGTCCCGAGGCCGAATTCCACGAGTGAAAGGACAACACTAAAATTGCAGTCAAGGTCTCTCAAACAATTACTGAGTTTATTACCTGGAAGATATTACCAGCAAAAGCAGGTCTTCAAGTTAAGAGGGATAAAATCTCCAAAGCTCCAGCCACTCCTAATGCAGCATTCAAGCCAAATAACTAACGGATGCAATTATTAATAGGAAGATAAAGGCCGGTTTGAGTTCTATTCTCTAAAAATTCAATTTTTTCAAAACTTATTTTCAATCATACATTCTTCTAATAAAATAATTTTTGCTCATAAATTAAAAATCTTTTTCCCACTTTTTAACCATATATTTTTAAAAGAATTACCATTACAAAGTACATTCTCCTAAAAATATGACACAAACAAAGCCAAAGTTATTTCTAGTTTGTGTTGGATAATTTCAACATATTTGGGGCCACACGTTGTATATTAAAACGTGTGGTGCTATTATTTACAGGATATTAGTCAATTAAAGTGATCAATTAAAGCTGTATTGTGACTAATGTGTATTAAGTTTCATAGAAATATAATGTAGAGACCGGAATGTTGTTTTAGATTGGTGATTGACCAATTTGAAGCAATTGAAAGATAGTGACTATTCAGTTACTATTATTTTATATGGTCATGTTCCCCATTTATTGGTATTCTTGAGATTATCTGCATCCTCATCAACAGAGAGTGAAATTGAAAAGAAGAACATCAATCAATTGGAAGATCATAACCCATTCAGGCCAACAATCAAACAATATGAATCAAGATATGTTTATACTTCTGCTATTTTGTTATTTTCTCTAATTTCAATATGTAGTTTTATTTAGGGTTTATATGTGANATGTGAAAAAAGATTTGATTAAAGCGTATTAATCTATAATCCCTACTATGTTTTTCTATCAAGTGGTATCAGAATCTTTCCATTGTTGACTCTTGAGAAATTAAAGTTCTAAAATTCTGAATTTTGAGTTATTGGATCTTCAAGCATGTTATTATATGGATTATAATATTATTAAGAGCGTATTCGGTAGATATTAAAATTGAAAAATTAGCCGTTATTGTTGACTTTTATTAGACGAGTGTGACCCAACAACGACCATATTTTCAATTAAAATTGGATTTTAATTCTGGGCAAACATGCTCTAAAGTTTTTCTTCATAAAATTCGGATTTTTTAAAATAAGGTATTTTTCAGATTTGTTAATTTAAAAAACAATAATAATAATTTGTTGTGGTCGCTGTCGATGCCGACGGCAGCGGCACCACTGCTGTTTTTGGGGACGAGGGGCCTCCGCCTGGGTAGCGGCCTCCCGACCACTTTTGGCTTGGCGACATCGGTCGGCGCTGCCAAGGGAGGAGTTTTGTAGGGCATTACTTTTTAGGTTTTTAGTTATGGAATTTGAGGGGGCGGGGGCTTGGG